CCCCTCAACCCTAAACCCTTCAACCCGCAACCCCCTAAACCCTAAACCCTTCAACCCGAAACCCCCTAAACTGGCCCTAAACCCCTAAAACCCTAAACCCCTAAGCCCAAAGCCCCTAAAACCCGAAGCCCTAAACACCTAAACCCCTAAACCCTAAACCCTTCAACCCTAAACCCTAAAACCCTAAACCCTAAACCCTAAACCCTGACCCTCCCCGCCTTTCGAGGCAGCTGCTGCCCTCCGCCCCAAGACGCCACTTCGATGCAGATCGTCAACCCCAGAGCCGCGGTGTTGGAGGCTTTTAAAGGAAACTACAGCTGGGGAGTTTAGGGCTCAGGGTTCAGGGTTTAGGGTTTAGGGTTTAGGGTTTAGGGTTCAGGGTTCAGGGTTCAGGGTTGAGGGTGTAGGGTTTAGGGTTTAGGGTTTGTGGTTTGGTAGTTCAGGGTTTAGGGTTTAGGGTTTAGGGTTTAGGGTTTGGGGTTTGGTAGTTCAGGGTTTAGGGTTTAGGGTTCAGGGTTTAGGGTTTAGACCCCAGAGCCGCCGTTGGAGGTTTTAGGGGGTTTTAGGGTTTAGGGTTTGGGGGTTTGAGGGTTTGGGGGTTTATAGGGTTTTTATGGTTTGTATAAAGCTTATAGAGCTCTCAGGGCTTGTAGGGTTTATAGGGTTTGTGCGGCTTGTAGGGCTTACACGGTTTATAGGGTTTGTAAGGCTTATAGGGCTTGTAGGGTTTATGGGGTTTCTAGAGTTTATAGGGCTTATAGGTAAACCCTAAACCCTAAACCCTAAACCCTAAACCCTAAACCCTAAACCCTAAACCCTAAACCCTAAACCCTAAACCCTAAACCCTAAAAGTTTAGGGGTTTCCGGTGGGATTTTTGGTTGGGGGTCTTGGGGATCAGGGTTTAGGGGTCTTGGGGTTCAAGGGTTTCGGGGTTTAGGGGTTTAGGGCTGAGGTGATTAGGGGTTTAGGGTTCAGGGTTTAGGGGATTAGGGGTTTAGGGCTCAGGGTTTAGGGGTTTAGGGGTTTAGGGTTTAGGGCTGAGGCGATTAGGGGTTAAGGGTTCAGGGTTTAGGGTTTAGGGCTGAGGCGATTAGGGGTTAACGGTTCAGAGATTAAGGGATTAGGGGTTCAGGGTTTAGGGCTGAGGCGAATAAGGGTTAAGGGTTCAGGGTTTAGGGGTTTAGGGGTTTAGGGCTTTAGGGCTTTAGGGGTTTAGGGCTTTAGGGGTTTAGGGGTTTGGGGGTTTAGGGGTTTAGGGATTAGGCCTGAGGGGATTAGGGTTTAGTGATTTAGTGGTTTAGGGGGCTTCCAAAACCCTAGGCCGAAACCCTTTGCCCCGCCTCTGCCCTTTTGCAAAGCTTCATTCGAGTAGCTTTGAGCCCCACACCCCAAACCCAAATGCCTAGCCCTTGAAAATGAACCTTTGGGTTTAGGGTTTGGGTTTGAGGGCTGGGTATCTAGATGTCAAGGGTTTATTGGTGTCCGCGCACCGTGCTTATGTAACTGCAAGCGACCCAGAAGCAAGAAAATAATGCACGGGCATCAACCATTGCAGTAGGGATTTGGAATACAGCATCCAATAATCAGATAAGGGACTATGAGGGGAAACATGTTTGGTTACTGCTGGAACCACAAGGGGATCTTGTTCCGAATGTAATGAAGCACCATAAATCCTAAATCCCACACCCGAAACCCGAAACCCTGAACCCTAAACCGAAAACTTACTTCAGCAAGCTTGTCTTTTTCAGGCTTTTGGGCCTTCTTGCCACAACGCATTCTTCCGATTTCCTCTTAGAAGCCAGGTGCAGCGCCACAAACAAGAGCCCTTGGACCTTCCTCTGGATTAAGGTGTTGGGCTCGGGTTTAAGGGCTACAGGCATTAAGGTTCAGGGGTTTTGAACAAGTAGGAATACTAAATTGCTCTTGTTTAGGGTATTTTACGGGTCTTATCGTTTTATATGGTTTGGGAATAGTGACCAACAATGTACCCTATTGGTTACTAGTCTTACCGAGCTATTCTAGACTATTCTCTATGGCAAACCCCAAACCCCTTCTTAAGATTTGCGCAGGACCTTAAGCTAAGCCGTCGGGTCGAATCCCAAGACCTCTTAGGGTACTACAAAGCTGTCGCGGTCAAAGGAGGGCCCCCCTGAACAATACAGTTGATGATATGAATCCTGCATTGCCCACAACACGCAATATACCATAATTCCAGTTTGGGGATCCTGAAGCCCTAAACCCTAAACCCTAAACCCTAACAGTAGCACCCCAAAAAGGATCGTTTTAGGGCCCCTATAAGGTAATGCAGGATTTAGATCATCAGCCGCATCATTCGGTCTCAGCCCAAGGCTCATTCTGTCCATAACGTATACGATTAGGGTTTAGGGTTTTTTTTTTAAGCACCTTTTTCCTCCTGCAGTTAGCTGTCGGAAAGCCCCAGGGGGCAGGTGTGAAATCGACCCCTCAGCAGTGATCGTGACCCCCGCAAACTCCATGTTCACTTCCGTCTCACCCTTGAGTCTATCCATTTATGCAATAAGCTGATGCAATTGCCTATCGACCACTGCCTGACCAGGAATGGGCATCGCTGGCTGGATTATAATCCTGACCAATACCGTCCTGGTGCCATTAGGAGGGCTGTGCGGTATTGCAAGAAGATTGGGTTGGCAAGGGGACGCTTCGGAGCCTGCTTTCGAGGAGACGACCCTGGCGGACGCTTACGCGGCCTGGTCGAAGGGGAACTACGCTGACCGCGACATCCAGGCCTTATTCGGTGAGGAGATCTTGACCAGCTTCCTGGCGCAGTGGCTTTCGCTGCAAGAAGACACAGACATCGGCAAGAGGGAGAACGAGGAGGGCTCGGTCGCAACACAGGGTCAAGACGAGGATACGCGGCAAGCAAAGGGTTTGACGTTGTCAATGTCGACAGGCTCGAACTCGCTCAATACTATTTTCCTTGAGTGCTCCTTCAACCTTTGCATTTTGCTCCTCCTGAAAACAAGAAGCACCAGTGCAGTTTTCAAAGCAGCGTAGTCCCCAGAAATCAATCCTCCAAGCACTTCAGCCTGCATCCTAGCTCCAGTGAGCTTCGTCATCCCAGGGGGGCAAGGAAAGCCACCATGGGATGACCAGTTGATGTCAAACTCATCGAGTTCAAGCCGTTCAGCAGTAGCCGCGAACCGCACAATGTGCTGGAGCCAGGAATTGATCTGGTGGCCTGAGGGACTGTTCTTGATGGGAATCTCATGCCTCAGGAACTTAAGAATGGCTTCGCGGTACGGATCGACAAAATCGCGATGAATGGATGCCACAGCGCGCCCGTGAACAATCCAAGCTCTCAGCTGAGCCAAATTTGAACCGGCTACTCTTACCCTTCTCGACAAAGTTGGCAGCAGTGCTCCGCATAAATCCACTTGCAACGAGGCTTGCTCCAAGAAAACTTGAACGTTGACAGGATCTACGCAGAGCCTGGTGGGTCCAATAGATCCGGATGAGGAGGCTCTCCGCACATCAATTTCTGAGAAAAAGTCGTCAAAATCCGTAAGCGAGTCCAACATCCCAAGCAGCTGCTCCCTCGTGGCCGAGTTGAGCTCCTCGACGCTAAACTCAATTTCTCTAATCCCATCGCCAAGGGCATGAGCCATGGAATGCAAATGCAAGTTCTGATGAGCAGCCCATAAGGCTAGCGGATGCTGCCTCAACCACACGGAGGGATGCCCGAGTTGCTCCGGGCTGACTGAACCACCCATAAGTTCCGCTAGCGGGACTTTGATGGCAAGACCAGCGGCGACTGGTTTCCTCAGCGTGACCCAAGACAAGGGAAACTGCAAGTCGGGCGACAGCAGAAGGAATGCCATTGGCTTGCTCCTGATCAAAAGTCCGGCCAAGGTAAGTGACTCTCATGTAGGTGACTTGCAGTGGGGAGTCCTGCCCTGTTTCCTTATTCGCAACATGAGCTATAGCCAGAACATACAGCTCTCCGGACATTAGCAAGGCAGCATGCCTAGCAAATTCCCTGGGCAAGCGTTGACGAACCATTGGAAACAGCACCTGGCCCATTGTTCTCGTGTCCGCACGTCCGAGAGATACCAAATCGCTGGCAAAGATGGGACCCGGATTGTGCGAAGATCAAACCATAACCCATGCAGAGCCGTGGATTTCTGAAGATTGTTCAAATCCTTGGCAGTCTGCTCTCCTGAGGCGTAAGCGAAATTCACAACGAGTGACCATGGAGCTTTGGAAGCAATCCATTCTTGAAGGTCATCAATCCTGGTCGCAGGGACGGGCACGTGATGCGTACCAGCTCTAATGTTGATGTCTCCTCGCTCAATGATTGCATAACAAACCTTCAGCAGCTCCTCAAACTCATCCCTTTCCGCTTCAGTTCTAGCATACTCCGCTAAAGCAGAAAGCTTGAGCAATGCCCCATGCAAATCATGAACGGTCAACGCATGGGCATGACTGTGGCGACGAGATAGAGCTGCTACCGCTTCCTCCAAAGAGCTAAGCCTTT